TTACCACATTAAGATGTGTGTCCAAGAAGAGGACTGCTTCTAATACTAATGGTAATATTCATAGTAGACATTCATAAACTTATCCCCTATGAAAATAAAGCTGACATCATAGGAAGATGCATACAGAGTCACATCATCCATCTAGCATCTAGTCTATTGTTTACATCTGCCTTCTCCAACCTGATGCCTTCCAGGTGTCTTTAATTACAACTAGCTAGCTTGGGCAATGATCAGGAATACTGCAAGCTGTAGTCCAAAACACATAGAAGACCCCAGGATTGTGGAAGGCTGGCTGGCTGGCTGGCTGGCTCCTCACAGTTTCGCACAGGAACCTTTCCCAGCTGCATGTGGAAATGTCAGAGACTGAGCCTAGGACTTTTTCTACGAGAAACAATGTGTGCTTTACCACAAAGAGATTGTGCCCTTATGCATTTGGATTGCTTTCACCACTGTGCAAAGTGCTTTCCAGGCATAATTTCAGTTACCTTTACAACAGAAAATTGACCTGGTATTACAATCCCCTATTACAGATAGAGGAAGTGGAGAGTGAGAACAGGAAGTTACACATGGCCTCCCATGAGGTTTATGGCTCATATTCATGTGCTATCCTAACTACAAAATAATAGTACAAGCACTAGAACACTAGATCTCCCCAACTTTACTTTTAGATGGCCATCACTGTCAGAAGCACACAGTTCTACCAGGGCAGACATCCATCATTTCTGTCCCCACAGGCAAGCCCCAAGAGCTGAAAAATGCAGGCAGCAGTGTTGTTCCTTCTTTCTCTCTCTCTCCATGTGTGTGTGCGTGCTCTTTTGTAAAACATATGAGTCCAGGCCACTTCAAAGTAATTCACATTACAACCAGCTCATCAACTTATAATGACCCTACGAATGAATGCTGACCAAAATGTTCTGTCCCTGAAAACCCCGTTCAGGTCTTGTAAACGCAAGGTTGGAACTTCCATCACCCTCCTCCTCTTGTATTTATATCCTGCCTTTTTTCCTCTTGTGAGGAAAAAAATAGTCCTCCTCCACTCCATTTTATCCTCACAACTCTGTCATGTGGGTGAGGCTGCGGGTGAATAATTGGCCCAAAGTCATCCAGTGAGCTTTATACCTGAGTGGGCACTAGAGCCCAGATCCCCCAGGACCCCCTCCAACACTCTAACAACCACATCACCACCATCTATCGCATATCTGGTTTCCCTTTTCTTCTGACTTCAACATTTCCTCGCCTTGGGTCTTACTTTCTCATGATGTGCAGGAAGTACAACAGCCACAACAGGAACAATAATCCATTTTCCTTCAGCTACTATGAGGATTGTAGTAGCTGATTCCTTCAGCTACTATGAGGTTGAGAGGTGACGGGGAAGACTAGGGGCTCGGAAGAGAGCAACAGATGGTGCAAATAGTCCTGTTAAAAGACAGTCCTGGTGCTTCAGCCCACTGAGCCCTGGTTCCACATGCATCATTCCTCACAAGTCCTCCGGCTGTCATTTAAAGTCTAATGATACTCATCATCATGTCTGAAACAACGGAAAAGCTTGCACAACAGCATGGGTCACTATGAAAGGAACTCCTTGCCAAGAGGCTTATATCTGTCCGAGTCCTAAATGTTTGTTGATAATTTCATTTTCACTGTTATTAGTGCTATCAATTTTCATTCATTTAAAGTAACAGCTGTCTACCACATGTAGTCTCAAAAAAGAAAGAAATCCTATCCCAAAACTCACACCAAGACTTCCTCCTGCTTGTCTGCCACATCCTTGTTTTATCCCTGCAATCTGAATTCCCACCCAGAAGCATTCTTGTGCTTCCACAACAAGTTTAAACTCTTTGCAAGAGGAAGTATCGATACTCAGTTGCAAGGGAGAAAACGTAAGAATAAACTGGCAGGAAGTTCATCTTAATTGTGTGTTCAGTTTCCAGGAGATAGATAGATAGATAGGTGATAGGTGGTGTTTGGGGTTGCAGGCACAGCAGCATTTAAGACTTTCGATTTTAGTGGGCCAAGCACATAGCCAATAGAAACCAATGATTTCAGAAGTAATACATCCTAAAAAGTTGACTTAGCATTTCCAAAAGGGTGCTGGAAGAAGAGAGGTAGATTCCAAGGGCAGTCCCATGCACTGCATCACTGCCATTCCAAAGGCCCTGAACTGACAAAGCCCGCAGGGCAGGAAGAATAGCAAGCATGTTTTGCCTTCCTTTGTATTTTCAGTAGGGAGACTTTTTTGTGCCACGGTGGGAAAGAGGCTCAAGGAAGTTTGGGATTGCACATCTGGTATTTCTGGTGCTGTCCCCTGGCACCCATGGAACCTGCCCTTTCCTGAAGCTCCGAGTTGCTTTTTCAGATTCAGAAAGGCAGCTGCTATCTCTGCCACAGCTGCAAGGATTGAGGGGGAAAGCTCAGAGAGGTTTCCTGAGCCATCCTATGGTCTCTGGGTGACTCCCAACAACCATTTAAAAAACAGGAATGCAAATAGATAACCTATTAAAATATTATGAAACATTTGCCATTAAAATCCGCTGTAGTATTTATTATCATACCTCTTGTCCCTGCCTCTCAATAACTGTTCAAACAAGGTTTTAAAGGAAAAGTTTAGCAAGAATTATGCCAAAACAGCTAACTCCACTCACACATTCTGAGACAGTCCAATTATTTATTTAAAACCTTCCCTTCCTCCAAGGATCGCCAGTCCTCACAACAACCTTCTGTGGAAAATAAGGCTGAAGGGTCAGCCAGTGAACTCCATTGGTAGAGAAGGGATTTGAAGCTAAGTCTCCTAAGACCTACGTAATTCAACACACATGCTAAGCCCATTTATCAGTCTGACTGGCTTTAGTGTGGAAGCCAGGCCATGCTGCTATCATGCAGAAGACTTCACTCTGGTAGCAAGGCAATCTGCTCTTGAAGGTATACTTAGATCACTGATACAAGATAGAGTAAGCGATCAGGCCAAATCTTCACTGAAGGGACACAGCTTACACCATAGATGTGCTTGTTTGAATGGTTCATGGGAAAAATGCTTCATATCTGATGCTCTCATTTCTTACCATCTTATATGGAAGCCTCTTAAGCATAGTATTTATTTATTTATTTATTTATTTATTTATTTATTTATTTATTTATTAGCAGCTTTTGTATACCGTCCTATTATACAAGATCTCAGGACGGCTTACAAAGATCTCAGGATGGCTTACAATTGTATGTGATAATAGTCTATCACATACAGTTCAATTAAGTTGAATTAGTAATATAATTCCCAAATGAGATACATGTTACGAGAAATACCAGTACCTCCTGCCATCAACAGTTTTGCTTCTCTTTATGACATGTTCTGAAAAAGAAAAAATGAAATGCTCCAAGAACTAAAGAGAAAGCAAATATCTGTACATGTCACTTATTCTCTTGCAATTTGTGAAGATTAAATTAAAAACAAAACACACGCATTCACTCCCTCACATATAAACACACCGCTGTGATTAGCAAGCCTCTAATACTTTTCCTAATGACACCTGTTAAACAAGAGCTCAAATAGAATGGATGAACCTGGTGACTACATTAATATTTTCACACCACATAAGTCATTTCCAAAGTAGTAGTAGAAGTGGCTTAATTATTTTAACCATTGGTTGTTTGAAATACTTCAGCCAACAAAGGTGGAAGCTGTGATTGAAGGCAAAAAGGAAAAATATTCACACAGAGGAAAAGAGCAGGATGGAATAGAAGCAAGCTATAGAAACACATGGCTTGAAAAACAGGTATTTCTCTGACACAGAACCTCTTAGCACGAAACATCTTACCTTCTGCTACTGTCAAAGACTATGTAAAAGCAGGGAAAGGAACCTATACAGGCACCATTTAGCAAGCAGCTTGCCTCTTTTAATATTCATAAACAATACTAGAATGTCTTACAACTGAGAACACAATTCTATGCAAGTTTAGACAGGAAAATAGGCCTACAGCTCCAAGTAAGCCCTAGCGAGCATAGTTGCTGGCCTTTTTCTTTGCCCAGATTTGCCTTGGATTGATCCTTAAAGCACAGAACTTGATGGCCTTTCTCCTACATTTATAAGTCTGATCTGGAAGTATTCTCCATCTGGCGCCAAACCTAAGCAGCTTTGCCCCCTGGTTGGTGCCACTACAGTTGCTTGCATATGAGTTGGAGTCCATATAAAAAGTCTTCTGCCAATGCCATTTGTACCAATAGTTTACACTCCACAAGAAGCAGCATTAGCATGGTATACGCACATGGTGGGGAGCAGCTGTGTGCTTAAGAGCATGCATCCAGGATAGCATAATTCTGTACTGTTCTACTCAATAGTAAGTCCCACTGAATTCAGTGAGCTTACTCCTATACGAGGGAGAATAGGATTGTAGCCTGAAGTGTGTGTGTACATTTTCATATATACCTGGAGACAGCCTCCAAGAGGTTTGAGCTGTTTCATCTATGCAACTCTGACTTACTGAATGCAGGCTCCTCAAAATAGTTAGTAACCTAAAAGTATATTCAGAGCTTTCCAGGCAGAAACTGGCTCTTAACACAGGCATGCTGCAGATATACTCTTAGAAAAGGCAAGAGGAGTAGTGGGTAGAATTGGACTGAGAGGACCAAGGATCAGTTAATTCCCTGTTCCTCGATGCAACACAATTATTTGGAGCCTTGGGAGATTAAAAAAGTTCAAATATTGCTTGAAATATGTCTAGTATGTGCTTCTATTTCACACTAACATGAAAAGTGTTCCATATGTGTGTTGCTCTGGACAGCTAAGGAGCAAAACTAAGCTGTGAATGTCTGTTCTTGAATAACTCATCTGTTGTATTTGTACTGGAGAATTGCCTTTATCCTGTTTCTTGCATCTATGGATTTCTGAATTACATAAAGGCAAAATAGAGTAAGATATTGCCTATGAACAATCTATAACATAAGCCAAAAGTTTTATAAAAAACATTATTTATTTTAAAGGCAAGGCTTGACTGTTTAAATTTTGTCCAAAAAATAACCATTTTTGGGACTGGACATAAAACTCTATTTTGAATAATATGTTATTTGGAAAGTTTGCCTTTGCTTTCCTCCCCCTTTAATTGGAAGTTTCAGTATTCATTAAATTTGGTCGTAAAAGGGCAAGCCTTTTAATCTGGCAGTGTGTCCATGGTCAGCGTTTCTAATTGGCTGATGGGGTGAATGGCATGTTGCTTTCTCAGTTGAACCGATTAACAAACTCTTCTCGGGTGATAACAGAGGAATGGTGGTAGCGGTCCCGGGAGGCGAAGTCTGTATTCTCTTCCGTGAGCTGAGTGGTCTCCATGCCAACTGTTGCAAAGGACGGTGTCACAACAAATCGTTCCTCTGCGGATGGCCTTCCCCTGAAAAACAAAGGAGCGCAGAACCTTCAGATGCCCCATTGTTTCCCAATATATTTGCAGCTGCACTCTGAACTGGGTAAACAAAACAAAAGAGAAAAGGAATCCACTCTGCTGTGCAAAGACGCAGCCCTTCAAGAAAGAATGCAAACTTTCCTTATGGCTGCAGGGTTTGGCCAACATTCCTCATCGTCTCTTTCCAAATCGCCTTAAGATTTTTTCTGAATGTCAATAAAAGTTTTCTCCTTAGCACATATACAAGTTTCTCCTTTGTTATTTTGCAATGGTTTTAAATGTTCCAGTCATATACAAATAAACTAATTCTTCCAGTTAAATTTGAAATTTATTGCTAAAAAACAATCCTTTAACATGATGCCTGCCATCTCTTTCGACACATTCTCCAGCAGCAAGCAACTATCCCGACAATACATGAATTAATCAATGAGAAGCCCAGAAAGCTAACTACATACGTACACTGGTTTTCCTCAGAATAGCTAAGACTACCAAGCACATTTTGTCTTCTGAATGTCTGCATAGTTAGAACTATCCTCAAGTGCACTCATACATATTTGGCATCTTTCAGCATCTTTCTTACCATGTATTTACTTGCTGAACTGCAGAAGTTTCAAACTTATAATCAGCCATTAAATGCCCCTGAATTAAAATGTATAGCAGTTTGTTTGAAACAGGGCCTCAGCAGTCACAGCTCCTAGAAAGCTCTTTTCATCTGTAATATATTCTCCAAGTAGTTTGGATAGGGTTAGTCACATTTCACAGGTGTTTTCCTGTCATCAATTGTGATCACAGATCAGTTCCATCTTGAGCTCACAAAAGGATCAATACTGTTCCAACTTAATTTGCACAGGGAGGCCTGAAAACCATGTATTAGAACCAAAATTGGCAAAGCTCTTCTATATACTTTGCCTTGAATCTAATTAATATATGCTTCCATAAAAGAGCTCCTTCATTTGAGGAGCTGTTGAATTTCATGACCAAAATATGAGTGGGAAAACTTAAATTCCCACCCCCTGGGGCACCACAGCCCCAATCAAATGTGTTATGCATGTTCAGATGAAAGTTCAGTTTGGCACCTAGATAGGAAAGTGATTCCATACATACTGGGAAGCATGGCAGATGATTGCATGCAAAGGATGATGGTGAAGATGTGGAAGATGGCAAGTGCAGCTTATTAGGCAGGGTGTAAAACATTGAACCAGCCGAAATGCCTTCTTTCACAAAATTGTAATGATACAACACCTAGGCCCTGCTTTGTACCTAGCAGAAGTGGCTAAGTAACATATATTTATTTATTGCATTCATCCTACTTTTTCCTGTAAGGTACGGAATCTTCCTCCTCCTCCTCTTCTTAACAGCCCTGGGAGGTACATTAGGCTGAGACTTCCATGACTTCAAGGCACCCCGTAAGCTTTATGGCTGAGTAGGGACCAGAACCTGGATGTCGCCAGTCCCAGAGCAACATTTTTACCACTGCACCATGCTGACTCTGATGCAAAGTGGGGAGAATTAAAAGGCCATGTTCTGGCACTCTCCCCTGGCATTCCTTTGTCTCCTTTCTGCAGTCACAGATCTGGCAATCAGGCTAGAAGTATAGTCTCTGTTTCAGCTTGGCTTTAATGTTAGTAGATCCACTGTAGCAGCTTCTGCAGAATACAGTAGTCCATATTGCCCTGCCCACCTCAGAAGGTTTACAAGCCTTCCGAGGAGAAAGGAGCATTTATGTAAGTATGGAGGTATGTAACATGCTCATAAACGGTCTTTTAGGGTAAACATTCCCAAAGCAGCATTCAGCAAAATTTGAGACCCGGAACACAATAAAGCAATTATAGCAACAGTAAGAATAACATATCAAAGTCACCAAGTGCAAGCAGATAGCATCATATGCTCAATAGCTGGTATACAATGAACTCCCAAGTCAGTTATAAGCCACTGCATGGATGCCTGTGATGATGAGGCCTCGCATATATCCACTGGAACAAGGCTTTGCAAGAGCGAGTGCCCCACAGTGGAGGTCCTGCCCCTCGTGTCCACCAGCCTAATTGCTCCTATGACAGGCCCACAAGCAGGGTCTCTGATGCTGGTCTCAGAATGCAGCCAGGCTGGTCTGGGTGGCCGAGGTGCTTTACGTACCTAGATCCATACCATTTAGGGCTCAAACGAGTGCTTTAAATTGGGCCCAAAAAGACACTGGCAAAGGAGGGCTGGTAAAATATGGGTGTCCCACGATCTGACCATCTCACATCTACCAGTCCTGGAGTGGCTGTGTTTTGTAACCAGCTGATCAAACTACCTTTAAAAACAGCCCCATGCACAGCACATTTCAAAAATCCAGTTGAGATGTCAGTATGGATAACTGACATCATTGCCACTGATATAACTTTTTCAGTAAGGCAACTTGTAAATATACATAGAGGCAAAACAAAAACGCAGCGTAGAACATTCAATTAAACATTAAGTTGTGAATTTAAAACAGTTTTAAGAATGCTAAGCAAAAGGTGGAGGGAACTGGAAAAAAGGCAGCAGTGCTGTACCCACTTACCTGGGAGAAGGGCCTCTGAGCTTAACAGGATTTATGCCTGAGTACAAGATTGCACTGTTGGTGTCTCAGGACCGGAGGATTTGAGACTACAGAGATTTTTTGTTTTATTTGTTTGTTAAATGAGTGTTAAATGAGTCAATTGATTTGTAAAAAAAAATTAAAGAAATGTTCCAGTTAGCAACGGGTGAAATATTTTGCTCCTTTGCTCTATATGTGATCTACTACACAGCTGGAGTTAACAACTTGTAAAGGAGCAGAAAAAACTATGGAGCAGAGAATAGGGCACCTATGAAGAGTTGGAGAAAGCATGGGGTAGCGAACTCCCACACAGTAGGACCTATGGCTAAGTATACCCATATCTTTTCTCTTGACAGGTTCGGGCAGCTTTGGAGGGATAAATTTTGGTGAAATGAAGCCTGGGGAAGCAGCCTCTTCCACCAGAAAACATTGTTGCCTCAGACACAGGAAAAAAATCTGCATATGGAATCATGGAGCTTACACATAATGTCTAACTATTCTTACTGGCAGTATTAATGGCGCATAGTTAATGATACTGAACATTTTTCTGAAACAGGATAATATATAGCTACTACACACAGCTCTATATTTTTAAGGTGTAACTGCTGACTTATGGACTACTGTGAACAGCTGTACAGAACACACTGCCATTATTTCTCTACTATTTTAGGACTCCCTTCTACCCCCTCCTTGCTCTTCAGTTAACCAGAGTATCAGAATTAATAAAGCAATTGTGCTACCTGCTGACATTTAAACAGTGTTGTACTGGCTCTCAGTGTGAGTGGACAACAAGGCCATTGATGGCTCTGCTCTGAAAACACCATTCACTAGGTGACTGAGGAGTTCAATCAAAATATCATTTTATTGCTCAGAGCAAAAATATCTGTAACATGAAAGTGAGTGGTGGTATAATTTTCCTTTCCTTGGAAGTCCTGCAAAATGACTGCTCCATCAGAATCCAAATTAGAGCCAGATTAGGGTTGATATGGTCCCATATAGTTTGAGCTGGCACGTGCCAAGATTCATTATGAGTGAGGTAGGGAGAGAGATAATTAGCCTTTACATCAGGGGTGGGGAATCTGTGCTTCAACAACTATTATTGGACAACAGTTTCCATTATCCCATGCTAGCTGAAACAAATGGGAACTGGAGTCCAACAACATCTGGAAGGTCATTGATTTCCCTCTCCTACTTTATATTATTAGATAGGTTAGACTGATTAATGTACCTTATGTAATGCTACCTGAGAACAAGTTCCAGTGACCATTATGGAATTTACTTGTGAGTACATGGGCATAGGATTGTTAATCTTAACATAATTAAGTGCATCTCTTTTTCTATTTACCAACACTCACCTGCAGGCATTCAACAAAAGCAATTTCACCCACTTGAAAAAGCTAAAGTTGGCTGCTGCACCTGTAGAAAGAGCAGACAAAATAAGTTGTCTGGCTGATTAGAAATTCCTAATTACTTTACACATCATATAAAGCTTGGTTAAAAACTAAGCAAAAATGAAATAAAACATTGACTCTTAATAATCCATTCTGGCCCAACTTGCGGAATGGTGTTTTTCCTTAAACAGAGACTTCAGAACAGCCACTGAAGCAAGTAATACAAACATTCAAGGGTAAGAGGAACCCCAGCCCTCAGAGTCCTTGTGTCGCAATTAGGCTTTTAAAAGCTTTGCGCTGGAATCAGTGGCATCTTTATAAAGCCTACCTGCTGCATGAGAAGCAAGAAAAATTGAGGGAATGGGCTAGATGTGGAGACCCCTTGGGCCAGAAGTTCCCCACGCTTACTCTGGTGGCTTCCATTTATGAGAATGGAAGCCACCAGCTGCTGATGGACACCTTTGCTTCCAATGCCATCTATCTGAGGTGGCTTTGAAAGATTAGGGTTAAGCCAACTAAGTGACAGGAAAGATTTGGTTCCAGACATGCTATAATCATAAATGAAAATGAAAAGGGGTTAAAGTTAGCTGGAAGGTGATGCATTTCAATGCAACTAAAGCTAAAGCAGATCTCATGATTCAAAATGAAAACATTTACCTGGTGGTAGCCCTGGGCTCACTTGGCCAATGTAGAAATACAGGATAATGGCTAGTCCCAAGTTTACAAGGGTGTATATCCACTGAATGACAAACATAATGGCAAGTGATCCTATTGCCTGTTGAAAAAGGTAGTACCTAGGATTAAACTATGGTAAGAACACACAAGAACACAAGAAGAGCCCATTTTGTGCAGGATTCTGTTCCAACCCGGGCCAACCGGATGCCACAATGGGAAGCCCACAAGACCAGCGTGAATACAACAGGGAACTGGGTCGCTTCAGCCTGGAGGAGACTCAGAGGGGATATGTTGGCAACATACAGGTATGTGAGGGGGTGTCACACAGAGATGGGTAGAGACCTGTTCTCCCCTGCAGAGGAAGGCAGGATGCGCTCCAATGGAGCAAAGCTCAGGGAGCCAAGGTTCCATTTGGAAGCCAGGAAGCACTTCCTGATAGTCAGGACCCCAAGGGTGTGGAATGGGCTTCCATGGGAGGTTGTTGAGGCCCCATCGGTGCGGGTGTTCAAGGATAGGCTGGACGTCCACATGGTGGGCATGTCGTGAGCGGAGCCGGCTGGTGCCGGAAGTCAGACTAGATGGCCCAGGAGGCCCCTTCTGACTCGCGCGGTTTCTATGTTTCTATTTCCCCTGCTTGTGTTCCCCAGCAAGTGAAAATGAGAGGCATTCTACCTGCCCGCCACAGGTGCGATACACAGCTAGCACAGTGAGTAACTACTGAGCCTTATCTTCCATGGATATGTCTAATCCTCTCATAAACCTGTCCAGATGTGAGAGAGGCAAGCCTCTCTCAGTGAGTCACTGAAGTATTCAGTGGCATGGAAATGCAGCATCGGGGGCAGGAAGTGCCTCAGTACCAGTTGCTGAGAACAGGAGCAAGAGACTGCCACTGCACTTGTGGCCATCTGGTTGGATGTTGGACTGCATAGGCCTTTGGTCTGGCTCAGCACAGCTCACGTTACGGTCTTACAGAATGACCTGGAAATGCAAATTGAGCACGTGCTGCATGACCCACATTTTCAGAATGCTTGCCTAGTGATTAGCCTAATGATGATTTTCCAAAGAGAAACACAGAAACAGAACAAGTCAGAAGGGGCCTCCCGGGCCATCTAGTCTGACCTCCAGCACCAGCTGGCTCCGCTCACGACAAAGTTTGCCGTGATTCGGATACACCACAGAATACACCACAGTGTTCTGATTCAGGCGGGAACATCAGGCATATGTTTCAGTTTTAGTTCTTTCCATTTTGCTCACAGGACTGATGATTTTATGAAGAGAAGAGACTGTTAGATCAGACCAAGGGTCCATCTTGACCACCTTCTTGGTTCCAGGAATCTTTTTGAAAGCCCAGAAGCAGGATATGAAGGCATTTGTCTTCCCTTGCTGTTTGCCAGTCAGCAGCTGGTATTGTGATGGATGCTGCCCCTTGTTCCTGCACATACGCAATTACACACAAATAGACTCATTTGCATATGTGTACAAGATGGATGTGGAACTAAGGGGACCTTTATCAGAGCTGTGATATTCCAAATGCTGAATAAAGTGGGGGAATCGCTCTTTCTAAAGAGCAGGGAAATTGGTTTAAATAAATATGTAGAAAAACACCTTGGTTAGTATACCGATTTCTTTGTGCTTGGACCAATATACTTGTTCTAACACTCACAATGCATAGGCAGAGAAAATAAGAAATTAGCTTATGCCAACTAAGGAATGGAAAATAATGCTATGGAAATAAAATAGCAGGACAAAAGGGTGGGAGGAATATATGATGAAGGAAGCTGAGAACCAGCATGGTATAGTGGTTCAGAGTGTGAACCTGTGACTCAGACAATGTGGGACCAAGTCCCCCCTCAGCCATAGAGTCAACTGGGGGACTTGGGGCCAGTCACAGACTCTCAGCTCAACCTACCTCACAGGGTTGTTGTTGTAAAGATAAAATTGAGAGCAACAGCAGGAGAATGAAATAAGCTGCTTTGAGTTCTTTAAAAGAAAAAAAGCAGGATATAAATCTAATAAATAAAATAAACTTGAGTGTTAATGAAAATGATAGACAAGAATGAAATAAATTAATTAAAGGAGAAAAGGAAAAGAAATCGAGCACAAACAGCTATAATTACCTAGGTTCAGGGTAAGACAAGCACAAAGGATTGGTCACCGTATAAAGAGAAGCATTTAAATATCTAGGCCAAAGTAGACCTCTACTGATGTAAAGTGTTGCCCAGGACCCTGACAAGTCTCCATTCCAGACAAACTTGCCTTTTGCGATTTCTAGCTTTCCAGTCTACCAACTCCTCTTGCTCTACAGGTTATATGCTTTAGATTCAGCAACACTACTGCACAGTATACAGTAGACTTTGCCATGAGGTTTCAAATACGTTTCTTCACAGGTTAATAACGTTTTCCACCTCTTGCCTACCCTCCTAAAGAATCATCTGAAATATTGCGGAGTGACTCACTCCAACGAGGGAGACCCAGCGATCACACAGTTTGGAGTAGAAGGATGCTGGCAGCTTCTGAATCTCTAATTCTTGACTTTGTTGCTTTACGCTTAAATCTGCAAAAGAAAAGAGGCCATGTTGAATAGATTCTCAAGAATTTATCTGTCTTTGAAAATTTAGGACAAAGATCAGTTTTGATGGTGGATACATCCAACATTCCACCCTGCAAAAATAGGCCTTGCTTAGCCATGGCTGTATCTTCTCCCTTAGGAAGCTCAATGCCAGCTGTAGTATTTTCGCCCAGCTACCCTCCCCAACACTCCAGTTGCTTTCAGATGATCCGTGGGACTTCCCTGTCCAGAAGAACAGGGCTTCAGAACAACCTTAGTAATATGGCTCACCAGCCCAGGCCACAAGACATTCTTCTTCCTAAAATAATCATCATCCAAAGTATTTCAGAATATGGATTGTGCAAGAATCTGATAATATACTGCAAGTAAAAATAGGCTAATATTTATATGTTCCAGTATGTATTCTGATTGTAGAATTTGGAATTTATCTACATGCACAGTACCAGCAGCTCAAAACAGACTACTAGGAGGGTGGAAGTAAGAACTTCAGCTTTTGCATGTTGTATGCTGCAGGGCTCCTTCTTTTGATAGAAAGCAAACTTTTACCAGGACAGGCAGGTGGGAGAAACCCTGACATGTAACAAAATAAAATAAAGTTTCATGTCTAAACTGTATTTTGACTTGCCTGATGAAGAACAGGGTGGGCATTTGTGTCTGCACAGAGTGGGGATGACCTCAGTTTGATGTTCAGCGTGTTAATATTTGTTGACTGTTCCTGCTCATGTCATGATACAAACAAGCAAGCAAGCAAACCTCACACTCCTGCATGTATGGAGAATGGATATATAGACCACTGAATGGAATCTGTAGTAATTGCTCCTGCACTGAATTAAATCTGGGCTGCTTTTCCATAGGCAAATTAGATTAGAATCTCCTGTAAGTCATTAAAACAGTCTCTATGCTTGTTTGTGAAAAAGAAATGAAAAAAAAGTTTGTTGCCAGGCTGACAGACTGACCATGTAAACTGATCTCTAGCTTTTTCCTCAGAAAGGTACTGGCAAGATTCTTGATTTTAAAAATGTATAGATTTCATTGCGTCTATAATATTTTTTACCTTCCATTTTTGGACTGGGAGTTTTCTGCATTTCATCAAAATGGTGGCCTCCACTGTGTTCATGCTTCTGCTTGGCTTCTGTAGCTGCAGATTGAGATATACCCTCTTCCTTCTGGGAACTTGGTTCTGAAAAGCTCTGCATACTTTTATCGCTGGATTCCAGGGCATTACTGAAAAGATCCTGAGCATGAGCAATGTTATTGTCAAGATCCAAGAGAAAGCTGTCTTGTAATGTCTCTTTGGCTGCCTTCTTTTGTTTTCTCTGCTTGATCATTTGTCCAATGTCCTTGTCCTTTTCTTTTGGTTCAAGACTAGTCAATGGATCTTTATCGTGAGGCCTAAAAAGATGGTCCATATCCTTTGTGAATTCAAGCAAAGTGCCATCTGATCTGCCTTGAACTATTCCATCTGATCCATAAAAAGACTGTCTGTCAAGTATTAAAGGCCGAGAACAGCCGGGGACAACCCTAGAATCCTTTCTCTGTGTCCTTTTTGAGTTCTGTTGAAGGCTGTAGCTCATGGAGACCGAGAAATAGGAGTAGTCCACCACAATATAGGTCAGCATGAAGTTTATGGTGACTATTGGAGCAAGAACATTCACTTGGCCAATGAAAATGAAAGCCATGGTGATTAGGCTTGTTAAGCAGATTGCAGCCACTGGGGTTTTGTTTGGTCCTTTCTATATTAAGAACAAAGGAAATAGTCATTTGTGTTACGTGTGGGCCATAATTTGGCATGTGTTTCTTGGTAATGTTCTACACATAGAGATCTGCCTGTCTTGTCCACCACCCACTTTGTGCTAAACCATTTGACCGGCCTTGTTGGAAAAGGTACTGCTAGGGAAAATCAGAGGGTATAAGTGGATAAGTAACATCTGGGCACATTCACACATCCTGCTAACCTGCCCACAGTGGGTTTGTTGTTCACAGAACCCATGGTGCACCTGACAGATTATTGGGCTTACAGTGGATTCTCATTCTCCACTCCTTTCCCCCTGGTACTCCACTCAGCATCCCAGGGAACTTGGCGCCCAAAGCCACCTTGTTTCTTCTTGTTGTTGCAACTGAATGCTCTTTTCCATTCACTACAGCTCCACACTCCTCTTTTTTAGAGATTGCTTTTCACAGTCTCTGAGATGACAACCCCTCCAAGGTGCACAAGCTCATCATCTCTTTTTTTTTTTTAAACACAAGGAATTTTTGCAAATATTTTGGTCACTTTTTAAGTTGCACATGCAGAACTCCAAAATGGGAGACCTCAGCTGGGCAATTTCCAGGGTAGTGTCTTTCCTCAAATTGTAGCAGGCGCAAACAATTGACAAAGAGGCTGTGCATATGAAGCATCTTTTCCAACATCTCTGAAGTATCTGTTCCAAACTATAGCATTCTTTAAAAATGCTTTGTACTAAATGTACTCAGATAGAGGGGCGGATTCTCATTTTATTTTTCTCCATAATTATTGGTTAATAGAAAAATAAACAAACAGAAAACACTTTTTAAGGTATAAAAGTAACAGTACAGTGGTACCTCGGCTCACAAGTGCCTCAGTTCACGACCAAATTGAGTCGCAAACAGAAATTTCATAAAAATTTTGCTGCAGGTTGCGAACTCTGCATCAGGTGACGATTGCAAGGGCGCCCGCCTTCCCTGCACAGCACGATCACGGTCTTGCGGGGGGGGGGGGGAATGGCTGCGTTCGTGCTGGGGAGGGTGATGGCCATGACTGCATCCATGTTGCCTGCCTGAGCGCGCCCATTCCTGTGCCCACTCCCCCTCCCAGCGCGCCCGCACCTGTCTCCCCCAGTGCGCCCAGGCCCACCTCCCACCAAGCACACCCACGACTGCGCGCATCTTCCCCCCCACCGCACAATCGCTGGGTGGGGGGAAATGGCTGTGATCTTTGTTGTTTTTTGTCACTTTGCTTCAAATTTTTGTGAGCAAAAAAATAGTTGCAGAACAGATTAACCTTATTTACTTTGAACCTTATGGGGAAATTTGACTTGGCTCATGACCAATTTGGATCACGACCAGAGTCCTGGAATGGATTAAGTTTGTGAGCCAAGGTACCACTGTATTCTTATGATACTTATTCAGATAGGTATAGTTTCAAAAGAAATAGATAGCAACATAAGGCAACACACTACACTCTTTAGTCAAAGAAGAATGAGTTGTTTAAAAAAGCATGAAAGAGAGTAAGCTACTGTAGAGCATTATGTGAGCCATGATTCATTATGAGAGGTAATATGTACATATAAGAACTGGTGGATGCTTGCTTCTTAACCCATTGAAAAGTATTTGTCTTCAACTTGTAGGTAAGGATCTGATCTGAAGATTACTCCAACAGCATTACCAGCACACACATTGGATAAAAAATAAAATAGTGACTCATATATTGCATGTTAGAACTAAAGGTGGGCTCCAGGCCTGACAAGGCAAATATCTGCTGAATGAAGGCATTTCTTCCACTAGCCAATTCTCTACTACCCCTTATGCCTGGAATTGCCTCCTCCAGTGCCTGTATGAGTCACCTCTCTTGCTTCCTTTAAATCCCTCATCAAAACCCATGTGATACATTAAGCCTTTGGCACACCTGGCTCCTTCTCATCCCTACTGCACCTTACCCTGCATCCAGTTCCCGTATCATCTGCACTCTGGAAACAGTATTTTGATTTGAACTAAGATATGAGAACAAGCTGAGATCTGAAACCAGAGTTTGATACTGGCATTTGCTTGCTATCATAGTTCTAAATGAGACGTCCTGGGGAACTGTGATTAATATACAACCAAAAGTAACCATTTTTGCTCCTCACAGGTGCAAAAGATGAGAAAGGGATGGGGAGGCCCACCACTGTAGAAAAACCTGCTAATATCTGAACTGAGGCACTGTCTCCCTCCACATGTACATAATAAAATTATCTGATGTTCTTATCAGATTGCATGCATCATAGCCTAAAATCTAGAAACTGAACCTTTCAATCTTTTCCTATGAATGTGAAAGAGGAGGGGGTAGGGATAAGATGGGAGAATGAAGGTCACTGTGGTTGATCTCTTTGTGGGAAAACATGGTTTCCTTTTATATCTGAACTGAGCCATTGTGTGTAAATTAAACAGAACATACACATAATGAAGGAAAACACGCATGTGTTTATCTGCTCAAAAAGAAACATTGCTCTGCATCAGGTTCAGAAGTTTAACAGTGTCTTTGATCTGGATAATTTTTGAACTCCAGCTATCTTGGAGGGAAGAGGGCCTCTGTAAACCTTTCCTCTTAACAACAACTAGGAACAGTGGCACCCAATAAAAACCTTGAGCATCATTTAGCAAATAATACTACATAGGATAGTACAGGAGTGGTAAAAAAAAAAAAATAAAGGAAAGGATAGCTAAACAGGTATACCTTATGATTTACCAGCTGAGATACTAGCAAAGTAGAGAAAGTCAATACTAAATAAAGTTCATGTTTTGGGAGCTTATTCAGTTGTTGTTTTTCTTTATTACACAGAATATAAAGTATTACAGTGTCTCCTAGTCAGAATTTTTGGATATTCAAATATTCCTTTGCATCTTGAATCTCAACTATCAGGAAGCTACTAGTCTAGAAAAATATACCAGATAAACCACAGGCAGGTATGCCTGAACTTTTGTTCACTAAAACGGATAGACAAATCTGTGTAGTATTTCATTTACTAACCCCTCGTCCAAGAAATGCAAGAACTGGTATCACTTTCTCCTGCGCGATGCATTGTAGGATCCGGGGTGCTCCATAGAGACCTCCCATACAAGATGCTAAAGATGAAATGTATAGCCCAAGCAAGAATAAGAAGCCCACCAAGGACACCTACAAAAAAAAAAAAAAAAAACAGATCAAAATTGATGTGTTTCCTGGTTGGTGCTGCAATCTTGCACATACAGATTTGGAAAATGCTTGTGATAAAAAAGCAGTGGCGCAGTAATAAATTCTGAACTGCAGGTGCTCATCATGATAGTTTCCATATTTCCAAGGAAAATAGCAAAATGTAGGCTCTCTCTCTCCCTCTCTCCATTCTGTAATCTCTCTCTTACAGTCTTCTGTAAAGTTAATGAGTCATCAGTACCAAGCCTCCGCAAAAGACTTTGCATGATAGCTCAAAACAAGATGCTGTTGCTGGGGAAAACCCTCTCTAACCCAGCAACCGTGAGGGTAACAACTAAGTGCAGAGAGAGCAGGGAACCAGATGCCATTATAGTCTGTGCTGATCAAAATGTTCCAGTGCTTTGCCCCTGGCTCCACTGTACCACTGGAACTCAGTTGAGTCTAGGCCTAAGAACTTGTATAACAGAGTGGGTAACACTGTGAGCTCCATAGTCCAGGGTCTAAATCTCACCCGTTAGCTTAGGGTCAGCAGCTATTTTCAGAGCCTGAAGCTCTATCAGCAATGCAGGATCAACAGTATACCATACAAAGCTGGCATAAAGATTAGGGAATGTGCAAAGCTTTGAACAGTTGAATTAGGCAGAGTTTAATTTCTTCTTAACAAAAGTACTTGGGATCAGGAAGAAATGCAAATTTAATAATTGTTTAACTCCACTGAGGCCCCCTCCTGCACAAGACCCCTGAAATGAATGGCAGCTGCTCAGGACTCTCCACCCGCCCCCTTTTTTTTTGGTTAAATAAATGGGTCATTTCAATGCTGCTTGGCCAAGAAAACATCCTGGTGGAAATGGCTCCTCTAATTAACAACGTGAAAGTATACACTTTAATTTGCTTTTCATAGCAAGTATCGGCTATGAATAGTGAACATGGAAAAAGATCCACTTAGCAGCAATCTTAGAAGAAACCTGTACCGCTTACAGGAAATGCAGTGAAGCATGAGATATTCAATTCCACTTACAAACTGGAAGGTAGGCTGAAGAGAGTTTTAGTTCAGGAAAATACACTTCTGTAGACATATTATCAAACAGGAAAAGACACACAAGCTTAAAAGGTGGAAGACAATCCCATTTGTCTAGCAAAGAAAATCAATATTAGATACTCCCTTTTACATAGAGCAAAACCAGATCAGATTTTCCATTTAAATCAACTGTGCTTCTAAGCCATGTTCCAAAAGCTTCCTTGAAAGGCAACCTCTGTGTAACATCAGTGGAGCTTATGCAGGACAAGCAATATGGGAACTGTGTCCTTAATCTTCCTGTCTTAAATGCAAAAGTCATTTTTTCAACCAGCATCAAAACACAAGAATTTTGCTTGGAAGTAAATCCCTTAGATTTCAGTTGGTTCTGTTCCTAAATAAGTGAAGGATTGCACTGTTAGTCTTTTTAGTGGTTTGCTGTTAAAACACTTCCATTTTTCTCTGCTTGAGCTGGTAGTCCACCCAAGCATTTTTATGCATAGTAACCAAGCAAGACAAACTTAGCACGTTCTCTTCATGATGTGTCCCCCAAACTTTCTTAGAACTGCAGCCCTGAGCTTAGAATGCCATTCCGAATATATGAATACTTGACACTATATTAATATATTAAACAGATGAGCAGGGCAGGCTTGTCCAGAGAACAAATGAGGTTTCACTGGGAACAAGCACAACAGAGTGTGCTTAATAGTCAGCAAACTTACCTCAACTGCCACTAGTCCAAGACTAGTCATGCAACATGGACATCTGGGCAATATTACCCTCAGACCTGCTGTTTTACTGAGCCCAGCAGAGAGATGGTGGAGTAGCAGGAATTTGAAGTTGATGAGCAAGTAAGGGACAAGATCACCTTTGGCTCACATGACCAGAATAAAGCAGTGATGGAGGCTGTTTTTGGGAACAGGGGAAGGGGGAAGGGAAGGGTGCCAGGTAGGCAAAGCTCTTGATCAGCCTGGGGCGGCATTCAGCCTGGATTTTCCCGGTGCTTCTAGCAGTGGTACTCTAAGTCCTTTAAGCAGTGTTCTTACATGAAAAGCTGCCCTACTGGAACCACTATCAGGGGGTCGTACACATGGCTTCCTGTATCCTTCTACAACTTCAGTTTGAAATGGAATGCTATTATTACTATTAAAATGAATAATTATATTATTGAATAAAACAAATAATTATATTATTCATTTTAATATTTTGCAAGAAAACATGGGGTTCTCTAAATACACAATCCTATGCAAATTTACTGAGAAGTAATTCACACTCCTTGTGCTTGCTTTTTCTTTCTTTCTAATGAAAGCAGTCTGCAGAACAAGGGAGATGGCATACAATTCAAACAGCATTTCAAAGACCAAAGCCCCAACTCCACATAAAAACAACCCAAGCCTCTGTGTTGCTATCACATAAAAAGTAAAGAGAAAGGAGGGAGGGGGAATATGTTTTATTTGGGGAAATAGTCAACCATATAAACCATATAAATAGTCAACCATATAATTTAAAACCAGCTTTGCTACCACTTATAATAGCATGCTTCGAGACAAACAGTTGATTGTCTCAAGCTTGCATAAAATTCCAGTTACCCAAAATGCTTGTATTTGAACGTGCCACTTGACATTCCGCGCACAACTTGGATGGAAGGAGCCTTTTCATGGAGATGGTCAAAGATACACAGAACGTGCAAGGAAGACAAGGCCTTCACAAGTTCTTACTGTTAGTCCGATCAACTTGCGCACTCCATTACTTCATTTCCTTACCCCCCCTCCCCACATACATTCACACATGGTCTGCAACGCAAAAGGATACCCTTTTCTTTCAGAATAAATGACAAATATGCTCTCATTTATTTTTCAGGACTGAATATCTCACACAAAATTAGGGAAATATAATTGTGCCATGTTTTTATTCTTTTGATTACATCATCAGCACTTTGTATTGCACTGAACAGAAAAGAGATTCTTGCCTCCTATTCCCTGCATTCTGTGATGCATAAAATGGATTTAAGGTTTCCTTCCAAAAGAATTTGCTGAGCCTTTGCTTTTCCCAAAAGTAAAAATTTAATTCGAGTTTTCCATATGGTTTGTTTTCTCCTTGTTCGTTACACGTCTCAGCCAAGATTGCTCTCTACAGAATCCACTAAAAGCAGAGGGTGGCTTCACACAAGGGGGCTTAGCACAACCCAGCATGCTTCACACAGGGTTATTCCAAAGTGGCTACGAAGCCACCCTAACATGTCCTGGCTGTTTGCAAGGTTTTGGGATCATGCCTGGGTTGCCATGACACCCAAACCCAGGTAACATGGCAAGCCCTGGGCTACCACTACAGCATCTCCTGGCTGGGGTGGCAAACCTGGTTTGCTGCTCTGGCCAAGTGGCTAGTGAATAACTGCCACTGACAGCTGCTCCCCAAGAGCTGGGGCAGCAGTAGGGGTGGCCTGCATCGCCCTCCCACCCCCCCAGAGCTGCAGCAAGACATTTCAGGCCTGCTGCGGTGGCTTGACTTGGTTTTTTGAATATTGTGCAAGCAACTTTGCAACTCTGCATTTGGGCGGCTACAAGCTGCCCTGCGAGAAGCCCCAGTGGGAGCTTGAAGAGGCTGTACATGGTCTCTCCTGGACGTCTAAAAAAGCAAACCCTGGGTTTTGCTGAAGTCCTGGTGGTCTGAAATACATAGCTGGTGGGGCTTTGAATTGGGGGAGGGGGGGTCACACGTTGTTCAGGCTTGAAAAACAGATGAACTAACACTTCTCACTCAAAAAAGGTGAAGAATGCATGGAAGCGACCTGGACGCAAAGCAGCCTCACATGCTGGATGTCTCACGTACTGGGAGCACGTAAGTGTGGCAGAAAGTAGAAGCGCCTCAAAATATTATTGGGCAGACTGCTAGAATATATATAAAACTGATGAAGCTACTGATTTCTAAAATTAAACGATGTATAAACTGCTACTCTTCTTTGCCAATGATGACTGAATGTATTATGAATCCAGGCTGAAATTCCCTCCCCATAAACCCAGTTCGTGTTTCCTGTACCCATGTCTCACTCCCATAAAATGAACGATGTATTTGGAGTGTTTTTCCTGTAAAAAGAACGTTGCCTAAGAATGGCAACAGGCAGTCCTTCAGCATAATCTAATGGACCGGTGGTTTCCCAAATATGTACTTAATAAAAAGAAGCTCTTTTCATATACATGTGGGTATTTCGCTGAATTATATCCCTAAACTCCTGATAAAATAGATTATGTATCTCTACAATAATTTTACCTAACCTGATGCTCTCAAGTTGTTTTAGACTACAACTCCCCTCATCCCTGATTATTGGTCATGCTGCCTGGGGCTGGTGGGAGTTGTCATCCAAAGCATCCAACGAGTACAAGGTTAGGGAAGGTTACCCTAGAATTAATGCTATACTGATTATCAGTATTATGCTAAATACAATAACTAGCATGGGAAACAAAAGAAAACTTTTCATATGTGATATTCCACTGCCACAAATTGCTACATATTTGAGACTATGGAATGTCTAGTATTTAATAATCCTCTTACTTCTGTTCCAGTCACAGTGGGATAAAAATGAAAGTGCAAGATTTGCTTTCTGAAAGAGAGTTGACATTATTTTTTAGAACCACAGACCAAATTGAAATCACTAAAGGAGGAGTGAGACACATTGAACAATATAAAACATTTACTATTTGGGAATATTAGCCTACTTTAATTCCTATGGTTCTTACCAAAGAAACTATACTAACATACGATAATGAGTTCTGTAGGAAAGTGTAAGCCACTTGACTCGACCACTGTAGGGAAACCCAAAATGCACCCTTTCAATCAATACACAAATTATGCTTGTAACTTCCCTTAATTTTTTCACAAACTGTTTTCCCCCCAGTTCTTTGTAAGTGAGCAAATGGGTTTGCATTTTTCCCAGCCTTTGCAAGTGCATACATTTCAGGACTTCTTCGATGTATGTCATTGGCTTTTATTTCTATGTTCTCTTAGAGCAATTATTTGTAAATTGGCATGGTAGGAATACACTTCACATATTCCTAAAGGAATCACACCCACCCCAAAAGTTCCATCTTGTTCGGCCACTGATTTCAGAGTTCATTGGCAAGAGAGGCCCCAGAGTGGTTAAGCGAATTGGCATGTGGCATTTCCAGACTTAAGGAATATCCCTCTGCTAAGGAAAGGGATGGTTCCTGGAGCAGAAGAGAACTGGAAAAGCTTCTCTTTGTGGTGGATCTGATGACATAAGGAGTTGCATCACAAAACCCCCTGAGTGAGGAGGCAGGAGGGCTACGATGAAACACACCATGGCAAGACACAGAGCACCTGACTGTCTGTCAGGAACAACGTAGGTTAGCCAGTGAACAACCCACCCGCCATGGCTTATTCTCCGCATGACTTACCATGACTTGCAAACAGGCTCAGTGTGTGCTTTTCTGCCCCTCAAGCAGAGAAGTGCTGTAGGAACTTGCATTACAATAACATCACACCCAAATTTTAAATAAAACACTAAATGAGAAAGAGGGAGAAGAGGAGGCCCACTTTGTGATGGAAGTTTCTCTCCATTCTAGGTCCTGCGCTATGCAGCAGAGCCCGCATGTGTGATGAACAGAGACCACAACAAAGAGGAGAAGGCATCGGGCTGTTGCTTACAATGGCAGCCATACATTCTCTGCAATTCTGGTTTTAGTTCTATGCAAGGTGTGTCACATTACGTCCTCTGTACAGCACATAAAAGATGGACAGTGATAAGTATTCCTAAAACAGTACTGTCTCCCTTCTTCCAAGTTGCATGCCCCACTCTTCACATATCCTTTCAAACTCAGCTGCTTATTTATTACATTTCTATTCTTCCCCACAGCAGAAACTATCTGGGCAGTTCACAGCCATTAATTTGCTTGCTTTCAAATTCCAGATTCCTAAATCTTGAAAACAAAATAAAGACAAGTAACCACATGCAACTTAATTAGTTTTGTTTGTTCTGTGCAGATACTGTGAGTTCATCTGGAGCAAAGGCTGAAATTTCTTTGACAAAGGGCTTCTCTACTTGAGGCACATAACCTAGCAGTTTACCAAGGCTTCTTCTTCCATTTCCTTTGCAGGAAGATTGAACAACCCTGAAACAAGCTTCCCCCGCCCTCAGGATTTCTTCTTTGCCTTCTACGTGTTACTGCATTACACAGCACAAGCTGGTGTTGTGGTATTGTGGAACTACAAAAGTACACTCAGCTTCTATAGCAAACAGTGATAGGAAATACCAGAGTTTTGTTGGCTTAAAAAACCCCCACAAAAATAACTGGGAAACTTGGGAGAAGGCTTGGAGGTTGACAATGACATCAAAAGTTCTGCACACTTCTGGAAGTGAGCGATCCTGAATGACTTGTGCAGAGAAGCCAAAAGCAAAAGATAGCCAGCTTCAGTGGGTTGTTTCAGACATCATTTCTCCACCATGATTTCCCCTTTCACTTCTGATTTAGCACCAAATCTTAATTTATTGGTATATCTGAACCCATCAAACAGTGGCTTGTGTAATCTATACTTGGCTTAGCCTGAATTTAATAGCAAACTATTACAAAACTGAAGGGAGAAAATAAGATCAAATGAGGGAGATGGAGTACATGAGGCCAGTATTTATTCACAGACCCAAACCATGGTTATATTTGAACAGACTCATTGCTTCCAGGCACAAACATCCCAGACCATTAACCAAAATAAGCACCTACAGTGCTGAATGACACCCCATGTTACGTGTTTAGGCAACTTAGTCACTTACCTTCTCTGCTATCATAAAATCATAACGGAGCGATTCCCGGGTACAAATGGCACCCAGCAAAAATACGAACACTATATATAGAAACCACCTGCAAACAGTAAAAAAAATGAGGACCATTAAGCAGATGAGGAACATCAACCATCAAAAAATACTTGGGCATCTATTCCTTCACAGCACAAGATCTTTGCTTTGGTAAAAGAGTAACGATAGCGACAAGTTTTGCCTTACTCTACACTCAGAATGCACAGGTTGCTTTAGCAGCTGTCTCATGTTGTGGGATCAGCACTGATGATACTGTACCTCCAGGGATCCTAAGTTAATTGAAGGCAGTTCACAGAACGCAAGTTTCCTGCTCCCTCCTCCCCCTGCACCCTGTAAAGCTTGCCCAGAGGGGCAGTGGACCCCCCAACACAACGAGGGGCTAGGTACGTGGTTCTGCGGGAAGGAGTGGGGCACAGCAAACTTTCTTTCTGTTGCAATCCAGTGCAACAGCCTGGCGGCTCCCGTGTCAGTAGGGCAGTTTTTTTAGGCTAGATTTTACAGGAGCTGTGCATAGCCCTGAACTGAATTCCAACTTCAGATGCTCCATCCAGCCCCCTGCAAATCAGTGGGGCTCTTGCTTCTACTGATCTCTAAGGCTGTCAGAGAATAAAGGGGAGGGGCACCGTGAACAGCCAGGGAAAGGGCCTGGAGTCGTCCCCTATAATTTTGCAAAGAAAAACTAACAACAGAATGGGAAGGAAGAGCTAAAGGGAAAGATAAGTAGGTTGCTTTTTCCTTATAGTTTGTGGGCTCCTAGATCCATCTCCTTAACCACAGTCTCAGATGGCCCAGTAGTTCAGAGCAGCCATGACCAACTCTGGCTGGTGCATGTGGATAGCCTAGCTAGCCACTGTGGGTCATGAACTGGCAATTTCATACCTAGGTTACAGTAATGCACTCCATGTGGAATTTGCTGTGGAAGCTGCAGCTAGTGTAGAATGCAGTAGGTACAGGGCTTACTGGGAAAGCCATCTGTGTTCACACAGTATTGTGTTAGAACAGCAGCATTGGCTGCTTTTTAACGACTGAACCATCTTCAAGGTTCTGTTTTGCCATAAGGAGCTCCAAACAACCTGAGACTAGATGCACTTCCAGCCAACCTTTTGGAGCTTTAGCAAAAGTCTTGATGGTTGTTTTTTGAACAATGGAATGTCACCGTAAAATATTTCAAAGGCAGGCCTCTTCTGTGGTGGCACCAACCCTCCAGAACATACCCCTCCATGCAGTTTTGGAGGCATAAAATGTGGTATGTTTTAAATGCCTCCTCAAAGTATTCTTGGTCAGCCAGACTTTCTTTGGCATGTAATTAATTGTAATTAATCACATGCTGCTCTTTCTTATTGTTCTTTTGCTTTTACTGTTATTCTAGTCAAAATCATTTTATGGTGCATTTTAAATGTGATACTTAATATTTATATGTAAACTGCTTAGAAATTTCAATATATTAAGCAGTATATAAGTGTGAATAATAAACAACTAAATAAATAAATATATGCAGAAGATTCCTTTTCATTTTTCCTTTCAACCTAACCTGAACTAAAAGTCAACGTTTCACCTAAAGCAGGCTCATCAGTCTAATCGATTGATTAAGGAATAGTCTTCTTTGTACCCTCATGTACTCTGAAGTCACAGAATGATCACCTTGGACTTCCCTAAGCCAACAAAATAACAAGTACTTAACTACTGAGCTGGGAGGCAGCTATCCAGTAACAGCCAACCTCTAGGAAAGCAGCCAACTACTTATCTACCATATCACATTTTCAAATCATTTATCTGTTAAGTGAAGTGAAAAATATCTTACAGATATCAATGTGTCCCATTTATTATAAGTTCACATCCTTAATTTAAGAATTCTTCCTAAAAATCAATTTGTTGTGGAATTTATCTAGGGATCTACAGTGGATGTAAGGGAAAGACTCAGCCTGTTTATTTTATATTGTTCATGCCTATTTTTTCCCTCTAGGGAAGGAAGATTTTTCATTGTTTTAATGATTTATATTGGTCCCTGAACAGTTTGTTCATGCTGGAAACCTTTTATATCCTCTAAATTAGGGAGGGAGGGAGGGAGGGAGAAGGAGGAGGGAATATCAGTTAATTAATCTCTTTGCTGATCTGTCCAGGCAGAAAGTGGTAATGAATAATTACTTGAACAGCTGCCAAGGTTTTATCTATCAGACAATAAACGATTGGGATAGAATGCAGATTGATCACAGCTAGGAGAGCTGCGTGTGACAGACAGTAAGTTACTAGGAAGGGAATCTTGCTTTCCCTGGACTTACGAGATGCTTATGGCAGACAGGGATCCCAGAGGTATATTTGTTGCAGGTTTCTTGAGATCACCGCTCATATTGAACCCAGCCATCACACCTGCAAACACAAACAGGACACTGTGTGGAATTATTGTAAGACAGTAGCTTTCAAAAAAATTACCTGTGCACATCCTGATACCAGCACCACATGTACAAGCTTTGTGATTAAGCAATCGGGTATCCGGGGGCAACAAGCTGCTAGTTACATACCCACAAAGAGATTCTTTGTTCTAAACTGGACAAAGCTACTGGACAAAAAAGAGAGATCTGAACAAAAACAGCTTATCTCAAAACTATCACTTGAAAGCAGCTCCCTTTCAAATGTCCACTGACATTCAACTTGGCAAATCATTCAAAAAGGCTGCGTATATTATGTCTAAATTTATTATAGATTTTGACACGTTAACAAGAAATCTCTTGTTACCATTTTTTTAGAACACAAACCTTCAGGATAAAGGGACCTATCTTCTGTTTTTCATGTCTGTGATCATCGCAGCCCTATTGCTGCCTTTTATTAGGCTGGGCTCCCTATCTAAATAAACAAGGGAATTAATTATAAAGTCTTAGATTGTACCTGCTAGAGAAGACTATAGCCAAACATGTATATTCAATAGGAAATGGAAAGAATTACTCAGCAGAAACCCCAACACAAAACATACACGCAAGCTGAACCAAACAGTATTTTCCGATGTTACAGGTTACGGCAAGATCAGTACCACAATTTACTCTGCCCTAATGTGGGCCTTGTTCACTTACCACAATTTTGTACTTATTCGTACCAATCACCCACTTTTGCTTCTGCACAAATGCTGAGCTTGAACCTTTCTCTGCTTGTGATGAAAAGCTCTGCTCCTACAGTGATTCTATCTGGTTCCAACCCAAGAAAGGACACTTTGATCCAATACCATTTGACATACTGGATACTGCGTTTCTGCTTGGTTCTTTTTATATTGTCCTATGCTGTAAATGCGTTTCAGTGTCTCATTCTGATCCCAGCAACTATGGAGTGCCATTTTAGTATCAATCATACGTTGATGTCTTGTTTAAGGCTAAGCACACTTAAATTAATCACTGGATCTTAAACTTGTTTTCTCCTAAGTAAATCTAGGATTTTGCTGGAAATATAGGAGTCAAGCAGATAGGCAAACTGAGAAATACAGTGCTATGCATGCATGCACGCACACGCGCACACACACACACACACTGTAGTGTAAAAGCATGTCTGTTTACATCTGGAATGGCTTTTCCTACAAGTATTTTTTAAACCAGCTCAGGTTGTTACTGAAATCTTCCCTGTCTAACTCAGTAAAATCAACATCTCCCACACCCACAAGTTCACATACAGCTCTTGCAACAGTTTATTGCTTGAATGGCAGAGCTAGTTCTTCATCATTACATTAGAAACCACTTGGGAAGAGAGCCAGCAGCTTCATCTGAAATGCTTTAAACATCTATTTAAAAGAAAGGAGCATAGCTATATGATGTTCTTGCTTGTAGAGCTATACAATTAAATAACTCTACTGTTTCTTACATCACTGGAGGATGGTAAGCAAAACAAAACATCCAGAGATAAACAGATCAAAATTTGACATGCAGACTTCAGTTCATTATTGTTATTTTTCTTTCAGGCAGTATTTAGAAATTACATATTCAACCATTTTAACAATGTTGGAGCCATACAGTCACTTGGTCTTAACAAGACCCAAAATTCTGGCATGTTGCAGAGGAACAAGATTGCTCAAGCTGTGTAGCTGGAGATCAGATTTAGTCCAAACCTCACCCATTTTCATGCAGAGCAGTTTCCCAAACTAGTACTCAGATCACATTCTTCCTATCCAGAATGTCAGTACAAATCCATACAGTCTTTGTCAGCTGAAAAGGTGAAACCAGACGTGGAACCAGACACTGGAACAAAACCAGTTCCCAAAAACCCATTGATAAGGAAAAATCTGAACTCTTTAAGCCCCACATTTTCTTCTGTACTAAACATATGAAACTACAAACTCCACAACAAATGGCTTTAGTCAACTATTTCATCATGGTCATTCTTAATCAAGGCCTTTCTCGCCAGAGGATTTTAAAAATCACAAGATAAAGGTAGCTTCACCTGTCAGAAAGCCAAACGGATATGGGTATTTTTAGGTCAGTGCGCAGCCCAATTAGCCAGTGGGCATGAAGCTGACAACTGCATCAAGTAAGAAAGACTCAATCTTTACATGAGCTGCAGTAACACAGATTAACATAAAATGGTGCCAAAATCAGTCAATGTGGAAGGAATCTGGGCCAGGCAAATGAGAAGGCAGGAACCTGGAAATAAATGCAGGGAATTTGGGGTGAGGAACCTCTAACTTGCTGGTCGAGTGGCCAATTATGCACTGAAAAAACGGAGGAAATGGGCTACCAAATATGAGGACACAGATTTACATAAAATGTGCAAGTGTGGGCAGATATGCATAGGTGCAAACCCTGAAATGATTACTATAATTTAAGCAGAAATATGGTCTGTCTCACCATGGTGGGGAAGACAAGGTGACCCGTTGTACAGGCAAGTGCTGTCTGTCCTCCACATGCTAATGCGGACAGACAGCCTCCAAGCCCCCATTGTGCCCTCTTGGGGTCTTTATCTTTAAACTGGCCTTGGACTGACAATCTGCAAATAAAGGACTAGCCTCTGACAGCCCTTCAAAAAGAGGACGGTCCACTGTCGAGTAAGGCACATGGCTGCTGTACTAGTGGAAGTCTGCAGCCAGAATGTCAAACAGCAAGTGGTTTGCAGAAGGCTCTAAGAGTTAAAAGCTGGGGAAGGATCCAGCCAGGATATGTAAGAGCAGAGAAGGGAGCCTCCCGAGTTGTTCAAATGCCATCCTATGCAGGACCGTATGGCTCTAGGCAGCACAGCACATCTTGCAAGAAGCTTGCAAATAATATCCCACCATCACAACCAGTTCACTGTAGCCTGCCAGCCCATGCCAGCCCCCCAGGGGCTTAACAGAGCTGCTTCAGAGTTTTAACTGAGACTCCAAAACTGGACAGTCATTAACTGCCTTGTTGCAAGTTTCAGCTTCAGTCTAGAGACTTTTTTAGGATGGATGAAGGCAAAGAAGCTGAAACCTAATCACAACAAGTTCCTTAATGACTGTAGCCTGGCACCCTCTAGAGATTTTGGGTTACTTTTCCCATAAGTCCCAATGGTTAGAGACTGTGGGACTCCAAAACATCTGGAGGGTGCAGAGTGGCCTACCCCCTTGTGTGGGCATCTGTTCAGGAATTTCACAGCACTGGTATCAGGAGATGGAAATTAGAGTTAAATGTCAACATTATAATGATGAAAGCTTCATCCAACCCTCCTGATTACTTCCCCCAGTGGGTTTATGCAGAGAGAGCCAGTGCGACAAAGTGCTGGAATGGGACTCAAGAGATCCAGATTACAGTCCTCACTCGATCATGAAAAGTCACTGGGTATTTTGGGCCAGTCAGAGTCTTAGTTCAACCTACCTCACAAGGTAGTTGTTGTGAGGATAAAATGAAAGGATAGGAACCGTGTAAGAAAGGAACAAACCCTCACACCTGGGCTCCAAACCTGGCCCACCTGGTGTTCCAATCTGTCCTGCTAGGGATCTTGAGGTTACTCCCTTTCCCGTTCCCCACCTTTCCCTGAACCATCCAACATCTGGGGGTTTCCTAGCTTTTGTGCATTTCTCCCCCCCCCCCCCGATTCTAAAAGGTAGAAATGTGTCTCCTAAGGCTTAGATGCTGGTGTTGTTAAATTTATTTCTATACTGTCCAACAGCTGAAGCTCTCTGGACAGTACACAACAATTAATAGAATAGAATGCAATAACATATAAAAATAAATAACTCTAAAAACATCATAAAATGTCACTAGAGATTTAAAACATCATAACATCATAAAATGTCACTAGAGATGTTAAGTTTTAACACCTTAAAGAGCTAAGACAGGTTGTACATCTTGGCCAGCTTAAAACAGCTGACAATATGCCTTGTCAGCAAAGCTTTAAGCTCAGTTATATGGGTACTTTAGCTGTCTCCTTTTTCCTTCTGCCCCACCAGCCGAGGACGTCTTTGGAATGGAATCTGGTCCTTGGGCTGAAAGAGTTCAGCACTGAGCCATGGACTAAAGACCACAGAATAGAGCAGAAGCCCCTCAGCATCACCAGCTGAATATATTTAGGTAACTTAATCAGTCAGGGCAGCTTAATTCCATGCCATTCAGGCCAAACCTGGCTGGGCTTCCTGGCTAATGACATTACATGCATTAAGAAGTCTGGGTTAACTCAACAGGAAAGCACTCTGACAGAGTGGACCCTGGCCCACAGAAGCGTGCACCATAATCAACTGGTTAGTCACAAGTGCCACAAAATGCTATTGTTTTCTCTGCAACCAATTAAGGCAGATAACCCTCAGGAATATGATACTGCAGATTAAAAGGCATGGGCAACCATTTGGACCAGTGTGGTGTGGTCCAGTCATGTGACACTGGTTGTTCCACAGTGGCTGTCCTTCACGGATAGGAGGATGCAGCCATTGTGAACCTAGTTCATGGGTCAGGAATTCATGCAAAGCAGATAAACGTCTCCTTGGAAATTCTCCAAACTAAAGACTGCATGCAGTATATGAACACAAATAACAAGAGGAAAGGTATATTAATTTCCCTGTGCTACTGATACATGGCCATGAAAAGCAGTGAAGTCTAAAAGTTATACATATTTAAAGAAGAGAGAGGGAGCTGTGCTGTAGTCGCTGAATTACGAACATACCTAGCATTGCTCTGAGAGAGCATTTAGCATAGTGATTGTTTACACTACTACTAATGATGTAATAAATCACGAGCACTTTTGAAATAAATTACGTCTGTTAGCTTTGGCTTCTTTCCTAGTTGCCAAGAATTAGCAGGAGTGATGAACCACTTAACAACTTTAATAGTAATTTTTATTGCAGTGCTCATAAATATTCTTCCTTCCATACTGACAGATCTTGGATATATATGGGCTCTCTCCCACAGTCACTTCGGATGTTACTCTGATTTCACGTCATGCCCTAGTGTGGCATTTCGGTGGTCACCTTCAATGATTTAAACTTAGAGTGAAAATGAAATAGGAACCTGTCAAACCATGTTGGGAAACACCTTCTCACACACACATGTATACTTATTTCAGTGGCTAAAATAAAATAAATCACCAGGATGGGAGGCTTGCCTGCCCTTGCTGGCACAATGGGGATGAATGATGCTTCATAAGCAAGGGCAAGATGCCCAAAATCCACGGCTACCCAAGTGAAATAGCCAGCCCATGAACAGGCAAGGGCACAGGCAAAGGTGTGCCCTTGACACATATACTCTTAATCAGCTTCATCGTCAATTAAGGAATGCTCCATTCCTGGGTTGTTTGATGTCACACCTGAGCCTGGAACTCTAGTTTATTGTAAGGATAAATAACCCAGAGTTTACCCCAGTAAGAAACCATGGGTAGTTTCTGAGTTGTAAATGAAAGCTGATTCAAAATGTTTTTGTGGGAAGTATGTGGGAAGCCAGTGTGCTTATTCTCCCATTTGCAGCCCTGACTACCCATAATTTAAATAATACATGGGCTCTTGTTCTGTGCAGACCCGTAATTCAGCAATGTCACTAATCACTTTTGGCTAGTTGCTCAGAACTAATCCTTTGCAAGCTCGCTCTATAATCCAAGGATTCATCACTAAAAAAACCCTCTAAAATTACTATCTATAACTTTGATAAACAGCATCAAGGAAAGGTGATCTAATTTGGTTTTATGGCTATTTTATTTACACACATAGCCAGATGGAGAGGGTACTAAACCAAACCAAACCAAACCAAACCAAACTTTATTTTAATAATACTTGGTTAAACTCTAGCCCTGCCATCAGTCCTTACAGAATACAGACCAGCACTTCAGCCCAACATTGTCTACTTCAAAGAGCATTTCAATGAGTGAGAGTGCACTCTACTGCACGTTTAGACAGAAAAAAGCCCCATGACTTCCAGCATTCCCCAAACAGCACTGCTGGCTGGCTTACGCTGAAAGCTGTATGGCTGTTTTCTGTGAGAGCTAGCACAGGCTCCCACCTTAAGCCAGACAGCCCTAAGATGCAGGTGGCAAAACTGTACACACGGAATGCATCTCGGTGGACTCCTGCGTACCGAGCTGAGTGCCTGCGCACGGCCTGTCTGCAGACGGCCTGATGCAAGTGAGGCTCGCTCAGTGAAGCCAGGAACTCTGCTCTGCCAGGGCTCCTTATTATCTGGAGTGCTGTGAGTGCCTTTGGCTTCATGCAGAAGCCAATTAAGGGAACGCTTGTGAGGTGGGGCCTCCTGAAACAGACCCCCTCCTTTTCAAGGTATGCTTGTTGTGCAGGGTTGGAATATCTGAACAGAGGGATTGAGGGAACAGTAGAAGGAGTTTCCTCCAGAAATAGCAACAGGAAAAGGGTGTGACCATCGCTGGTGCACTGGGAGACGGCACTGTGCCTACTTCTGATCTAATTTACAACGTGAAGTCTAAGCAGAGTTGTGGGATTTTAAAAAACAATTGTTAACTATTTTGGATCCCTATTTTCCACCTTGCTTAGAGATGGAGTATGTCCTTTTGCAACAGGGCAGATTTGCTATATGAAATGTTTGTGCCTCTGTATTTTTCCATCGACAAGCTTAAAAATAAAGTTTTTTAGGATAATTCATGAAGCAGGGAAACAAGTTCTGAATATAACATGCTGAGGATGTGGTCTTGGCTGCCGCTGTGCTAACATGATCCTTGCCTCAAATTCAGCAGAAATGAATGGAGTGCAGAGTCAGACACCATTAAAATGCTCGGCAGTGAACAAACAGTCCCTCAACATCAGCTCATCTTGGGGTGGGGTGGGGGCAGCCATTTCAGCTGTTACTGCTGACTTCACTGAGAAAAGGGAGATGGGACAGAATACACACATTTGGGGTGGGTGGGAATCAGTGGTGGCCCATTTTACTGAGTGTATTGTATGGGCTGTACCAGAAGAATGGTGTGGCGGTTATTCAGGTTCAGTATAGCGCATAGTAACCGTCAGTGTGTTATATGGCTAGTTGACTTTGGGCTGGTCACAGTCTCTCAGCCTAGCCCACCTCTCAGGCCTGTTGTGAAGTGAAAATGGAGAGGAGGATGGCCTTGTAAGCTGCCTTGGCTCCTTGCAAGAGCAAGAAAGGTGAGGGTGTGAATGTAGTGATGATGATAAATAACTTCCCCTCCACTCCCCTCCACAATACACTACAGAGAAACCCGATGTGACAACCCAAACAGTCACATCTCCAAGCAAAGTCTGAAATGTCAGCGCTGCATTGATCCACGGAGGTGGGGAGTGAGAAAAGCACACGCAACGGCTGGGGAGACCTGGTGAAGTTTAGTGGGTGTCTGAGACGAGGTTCCCCAACAACGGGCTCGTGTGCTAAGGTGAAGCAAGTTGTCCAACAACGCAACACTGTCAAAAGCTGCTCCTGTTACAATGGGATTGCCCTTGCTATGAAAAAAGGCACGGTCTCCTGCACTCCTCTTCCGCCGCACTGCTGGTGAGAACCAGCGAAGCTTCAGAGTCAGTAGAAGGGATGGTGGGCTATTGAGAGCCCAGAAGCTGTTTCTTCACATGGCTGGAACACCAACCTTTCAGGGGAAAGAGAGTGAGTCTTTAAAAGAGATACAGTTCCTAAGTGAGGAACAGATATATGGAGGAATATATATTTGAAAGCTGAGATCTTTAGGATTCTATATCTGCATGGAAGAGTTATAAACATGGCAGTTTACCTTCCCATTAAGTATTAATTTAGGAAGCAATCCTGTTTGCCCTAGACAGAGTCTGAGAAAACTGCAGGCTAGTTCAGGCTGCTGGATCCAAGGACAGAGACAGTGCTCTGACCTCAGACTTGGGAATTGGAGCTCCAGGACCCTCCTCCTCGCAGCTGACATGGAGAGGACTGTGCTGGCTGATCTCCGATTTGGGAGAAGGGAGCTGGGAGGAGCCTGGGAGCTGTCTTGGTGCCTCTCCCACCTCCTTCTCCCCTCCTCTGAGTCACTCCAGCTGGATGGGAGGAATATGGGAGGGCAGGGCAATGGCGGCCAAGCTCTGCTGCTCCTCCCTTTCTGTGTTAGATGACTGCAAGCCACCAAGTCTGGTGGCTTATGGCCATCGTCACAGAGTTATAGCCTCATCTTATTTCTTAAGCCACTATTTGTTGCCCCGTGACTTTACTCAAAAGACATGAAACTGGAGCATGAAGGCAGAACCTAAGGAGAAAGGAAAGAAAAAAGGTATGGGCAAGGGTTTATTGTTTCTATTACTGTGGGGAGGGGGGGGAATAAAATATGATGAACTTTTAATAAAACAATATAAAATGACACCTTATAGAATTCCACAGTACCTGTAGCAGCTGGGAAGAACACTCCAAATACAGTGAAGAAGGATTCTCCTGAGCTGTAATCTGGGAGTGTGTTGTTCAACATAAGTTCTTCAGAATAGCCAACAAAACCATGTTCTGCATGTTTCAAAGGAAAAACAAGACAAAAAGATCACCTGTTCAGTATCATAACCTACCACATTCTTTACCTATGTTCTCTTTCTTTATCTTCTCCATCACATAATATCATTTCCCATTTCTGATCATCTCTGAAGATGGCCTGTTTCCGACAGTGCAGGCAGCTGTGTTGTGACTGAATCACAGGGAAAGGAGAGCCATTATACAAAGGCCATTTGGCACGCTGAAATAGCAGATATCCACTAGGCTTCCAAAATGTGATATTTTAGAAGAGGGATGGGGAATGTATAGGGTCCACATATTGGGATTGCAGCTCCCATGGTTCTTTCCCATTGGCTGTTCTGGGTAGGGTTGATGGGAGTTTTAGTCCAAACCCTTTCTATAAGCAGAAATAGCATACATGAAAAACAGTGGTATTTTCATTTTTATCAAAACAGAAAAGTCAGTAGACTCATATATTCAGAATAGTCAAATTCTGACCACCGGTGGGGCTTGTGATCTGGAGGACAGCCCAGGTTTCAGCTTCTGAGGCTAAGTCAGTAGAGACAGGAACTTCCTGGACCAGTGAGACCCTTCTGGTTCCTGGCAACACTTCATTCTGCAGAGCTGATTAGCACGATAACCTTCTTCAGCCCTCTGTAACAGAAGTGCTACAAAGATCAGGCCACAAACTCCTTCTTGTAGCCACTCCTGTCATCCCCTTGCTGCCCACACTGGCTGGAAGACGTGGTCCAGCACAATGGAAGGGTGCCAGTTCCATGTCAGCTTGTAGACCAGAAGGGTATCCTTACATTGCTTATCTCTGCCCTCAATGAACTCTCGTCCACCATGAAAAGGTTGTTGGGAAATGCCAGGTCTTTCCTCAAGCCCACAGACAACTGAGATGAACTTGAGCCCACAGACATCTGGCCAGGCTTCCAGCAAAGTTGCAGAGGCCATTTCCATCACCATGATTAGTCATCATGGAAAGAAAATGGTATCTTTCTTGATGCCTTAAACCGATGATCACTGATCCATGAAACCTGGAAGTTGGTGTATATTATTCATGGAGTCCGGAGGCAGAATATGCTATACAACTTTACTTATGGCTCCCTGGGAGGAGCTGGTTTGACTGGGTCATGCAAAACAGAAAAAGGATCACAGAGGAAGGGTAGTGAACAAGATTTAACATGGAGGTTGTGCATATAGTCAGCATGTAGTGTGCCGTTGCAAAAAATGAAAAATAACCTAACAAAATATGCAAAGACCTATAGTCCCCACTGGCTTCCTTTAGCACATGGAGTGGAAAACTCCTTGTTGCAGCCTAAATCCTAACCAGAGTACACTGAAGTGAGCAATATTTGTTTCTGCACAATTCTAAACATCGGTGTTAAAGGGAAGTGGTGCATGCACGCACGCACAAGTATTTATAGGCCGCCAAGGCCTTCCTAGGTACAAGAATCATTTGAGATATTTCAAAGCTGTTTAGTACCATGGCCTACAGGACACACCTTAGAGGTTTGGAAAAGTTTAGATTTCTGCCTAGTGCTTTGAGAACTTGGAAAATTACTTGAGAGGTGAAGCACTGCTGCCAATGTACAGTGGTTATGCGGGGTGAGCCTATTATGTAACTACCAAAAGGATATCTCCCATGCCAAGTTCCGTGAAACCTGGACTTCATTACAGATTAGTCACGTTTTGGGTCAAATTCAAGATAAAGCCAGTTCACAAAGTTAAAGCTAAGGAAACTCTGGCATGGAAACAGGATTGTAGTGTGAAACTCAACCACGCAATACAACAAAACTTGGTATTTAAACAGCAGGCATTTTAAAATGATGAATTTATAGGATAATTACACAGACTGAAAAAGAACGCGTTACTTAATTGCCATGTTCCCATTTCTTGTTCTTTAAAATACATTTAAACTTGTTGCTGTTGTCGCTGCTGGCAAACTGCTCTGGAAATACGACTGAAGTCTGGTGTAAAAACACTTACGATGTATAAATGATATCCATGGGTCATGATCGTATGTCAGGGGAGAGAGCGTAACACAGCAAACCCTCCAAATAGGTTAAAGGCATAGTCCTACGTATGTTCAGATAAAAGGAAGTCGTGCATTTCCCGGCATAGCAAGCACCCTAAGTGGCTAACCCCTTTTAAAGAAATTAACCTCCTATCATAATCCATTCAGTTCTAAATTACCTTATTTCAGGCTTTGAAAGAAATGCTTTTGCCTTTTTAATTGTTTTTCTTTTACTCGAGATATTGACATTCTAACTGCTACATCAAACCAAAAACCTCAAGAGAAACATTTGCCAGCTAATGAGAAAAGGAACTTAAATTCATCATCTCTCTTTAGGCGAAAGGAACACTGCTTGTAAGACAACAAAAGATATTCTCAAACAATAGTTGCAAAACATTGTTTCCTGCATGTGGATAAATGTAATGACAAAAAACATTAATACTTAATATAAAAAGTCTAACTTGCCCATGCAATTTGTAATAGTCAAGAAATGCCAGAATTTAAGGAGGCCTGAAAGTGACAGCCTTCCTCCTTTAAATCCTAGATGTGTATACCTGGACAGAATTGCCCGATGAAAAGGTAGCCTACCTGTGCTGAGAACAGATGCCCATGACTTGTTACCTTAGTGGTAATTCTCAGGAGGGCCCAAGACATTTCAAAACCTGAGGCAGAAAATTCCACCAGCCTGCAAATTGCTAATAACTTAGCAACCTGTAATGGTGACCTGAGCCTTCGTTTCAGCCTTCCTTATCTTTAAACAAACATTTAAAAACTGTATCCTGGTGAGACTGGACTCAGACTGCATTACGACTAACAAAGCAGTCCTGTGCATATTTATTGTTGGAAGTACACTCCATGGAGTTTGAAATTATTAGAAAACATTTTAAATAAATATGTAGTATTTTTGGACAGGCTGTATTAAGAGCTTTGCTAGAGTTATGTGATCTTATTGAAGCATTCATTAAACACTGGATAAAATGGTAAAAAATATTTATATCCGAAGCATATTTATTTGGAAATAAGCTACAAGATGAGTGACTTCCGTTAAATTAATTTTAAGAATTGCATTCAAAACCCTCACTGTGTACCCTGCAATCCCTTTGACAACTGGCATTCTATATCCTTGGGGAAAGTGGCACGACAAAAGTAGATAACATGATGGGACACGGGACACTACCCTGTGATGTCTGAGGTGCAACAAGGAACTGTTCCTGTATAATCCATCAAAAGGAGTGGGAAGAATCTTGAATGAAGAGTTGGGCTGGGCCTCAGCAATGTGATTTCCTTCCTGACTTGAAGAAATAAAGCAATCAGCCCGGCGGGATCAGGGCTTAGTTGAACACATACAAGCATCACAGCAAGCCATTCTTATTTTTTATGTATATTCATTTCATTGTATACTATCCAATAGCCATAAGGTTCTCTTTTTGTAAATAAAGTCTTTAAATTTACACTCTAGTAAATAAACCCACAAAACCAAGTAGGCCGAGAGAGAGAGAGAGAGAGAGAGAGAGAGAGAGAGAGAGAGAGAGAGAGAGAGAGAGAGAGAGAGAGACTGGGACTAGTCCAGTGAGGCTGGCGGATGAGGAACATACTCCATTGCTGGCTGGCCTCTTTCTCGGGCAAACCACTTGGTTTCTCCACAAGGCATGGAGAAGGAGAGAGGTGCTCTGCCTCGTCTGCATGGGATTCCTCATCCCTGATGGCTACCAGGCAAGTGCTTAAATACAAGGCTGAAGTATACACACTTTAAAGAGTGACAACCCTGTTACAGGTCTTTGACAAATTAAACTAGAGAGGATATATAGCCAACCTGATAGTAGCACTGGTAATGCAGCCTACCCCTTAGTTTTCCTATGCAACAGCAATTCTTCTTTAAGCGATTCTTCCATTGCTAAAATGATACTGTGGATAACTCAGTACGCACGTCTCTGGGGAGTGCAGCACAGGACTCCATCACGCAGGCCACCGACTAGTTTCTAGCTTAGGGGTGGCCAAATGGTGGCCTTCCACATGTTTCGAAAGGTTTGCAGCTCCCAACATCTGTCACCATGGCAAGGAGGCTAAGGCTGATGGGAGGTGGAGGTCAAAGCATCCAGCTGGCCACTAGGCGCCCAAGTAGATTATCGTAACAGAGCTCAAATCTCAGCCGCTCCCTTCACTCAGTCAGATAATGCAAAACATCCAGACTATGATGGGCCACGTGAAAGAATTTTTGCAAAGAGGAAACAAGATTGTAAACTTTGAAATAAATCTAGCATTAAGTATAACGCATTTACAATAAGGATATAAACACCTGGAACTGACAATGACCAAATGGCCAACAATGTTACCTCGGATGCTGAAAGAAATATGAAAAGGAAGATTCCTTGTTCAAGGACTCACTTGGTAGTGGGGAAAAAGTCCTAAGCCAAGGACCATTTTTCCAATCTGCCTTTTTGCATCTACAGTAACAATGTCAATCATTGTTGATTCTGAATTCCATCATGCCCATTCCACACTCCAAAGAGGAGCGATATCATATAGCAGAAGCTGAAGTGGTAAAAACAATTTAACAGGTCCCAACCCTAAGAAAGGCGGTTTGGCATCCTTATCTTTCAATGGAAAAGAATGTGCTCCCTCTGGCTAATGACGTATGTAGCCCAAAAGGAAACCACCACCCTTCTGATGCACTGCCTGTTTGTTCCTTCCAAGTCACTGTTTGTGGATTCTGAGTTGCTTTCCTAAACTTTCCCATTTACAGTGCGTGTGCAATACAATTTTGTCTTGATAGCGGATTGCTGAGGGTCCCACGCGTCAACCCTGTCCTGAAAGCTATACTGCAGGGTACTGGGAGAATGTATTTCAGCTTTTGCTTCCCTGCTGCCAATGTCAGTGAAGGGAGAAAGTTTGTAATTTAGGTCATGCTGCATTATTCATATTCTAAGAGACAAAAGAGGCTTCTTCTTTTTTTTTTGAAAAAGGGAGGTAAAATGTGGTGGATGCCACCCCCACCCCC